ACAATCAAAACTACCTCATCGATTCATTTCAAATTTCGTTTTATTTGTTTCACAAGTAACAATTACATAAAAGAAGGCTGTAAATAGAATAAGGTAATAAATTCATTAAGAACTATGCCCTGGCCAAGACTGTTCCGTGCGAAGCTGGATAATTCAGCTAGTATATTTACGAGTATATTGTGAAGTGTGAATTCAATATATTTTTATTTTTAGATTTTTTGCTGTCTTTTGCGCTGACTAGAAAGCTATTGTATTGAAATCATATTTTCTACGTCACTAGTGATATATTTTCATTTAGACAGGTGTACTTGTTTCAATTATAACAAATAGGTACACACAATCATATTGCAATACGTTTTCCTTGGAAATACCTATAAGTACTTTAGTAAATATTATTATTTTGTTTCCAAATTGTTTGGGTTAATGTAATTTTATTATAGAGGGCTATATGAAAAAAGACATATTCAAATTTATATTGTCATCCTTTATCTAGCTTGGAAAAAAAAGACCGATTTATATTGGTATGTTTGTGAGTTATAACCAGGGCCGTGGAGAGAAATTAAGGATCCCAGGGACAAATTAATCGATGCCCTTCTCACACGAGGTATTAAACTTGCCATTGACACCCAGTGTCATCTTTTAATATGTGTATACCAAAGAGGGGTCCAGTTCGTTTCGTTACCGGACTATTCGCCGAAATTGTTTCTCCACCGTTCATTTCGCCGTGTTCGTTTCGTCGCTATACTACTTTTTTTTTTGTAAAACGTCAATAAAAAATTTTTGAAATTTTGATACAATGCTCCTCATACATTTTTGTTACTCCAGTGAAAAAAATCTCAAAAATCTACAGTCATAATTTTTATAAATAAGCGTTTGAATTTGAAATGTTGATAAAAATCACAAAATCTGTCTTTTTTGGTAGTTAATCGTTAATAAATAATTTAATATATATACTTAAGAATTTGAAGTGTAATATAATGTACTAGATGTGTTTCTTTTTCCAGTCAAAAAATTTTACCGAAATAGCACAAAAATGTTACAACCGTTTGAAAATTATATTTTGATAAAGTCGGGAGTTTACGCAATTATTAGGAACACAGTTGAGAAATTCAAAAAATTACTTATCTAGTTTCCAGTGAATCAACTAGACAACATTTGCTATCGAAAACCACCCCTAAAGTTGTTGATAGGATAATTTTTACTAGGACATTTGGCCGGCGTTCATTAAAACCGCACACTTACCGTTTTAATCGCACATTTTACATCGTTCAATACCGCACATATTTATTCTATTGTTAAAAAGGGAAATTTGAATAGTCGATAGTTCAAAACCGTACAAATTTGGTTAACAGTTCCTTTCTTTCTGCACATTTTTCATGAACTGTTCACGTTGCCGGTTTCGTATGAGAATAACGATGACTTGTTTTTGAAAGTGTGTAGTTATGAACGATGCCTCATTTGACATATCTACTAAAAAAAAAAAAAAAACACATCATGGTAAAACTAATACATTCATCGTTTCACTTAGAATCTAAAATTATTTTAAGTTTTAAAATTCGTTTTGTCCAGATTTCGTGTAGGTCTATTATATAATATTCAACATTACCTATATCGTTCGTTTTGTTTAATATATATATTGTTATCGAACTTAAATGTTTCATATTTATTTTTACTCTGAATGGTGACTAGTAAGCATTGAGTATGTGAAAATAATCTTATAAGATTACGAAAATAATTTTCAAATTGGTAGTTCAAAGGAGCAAGGAAGTAATACAAATAAAACACAAATATTAAAAGGTAATTTACGAAGTTATATATATATATATATATTTAAATTTTATTAAAAATTCATTGTAAAATTATGTGTTAGTCCTCTAAAGTACTCGATGGCTTGATGGTTTCTATAATTTTGTACCAAGATCAAAATAGTAAAGCCATCGTTAGATACCGTCTAGTATTAGTAATTACTCAATTTATAGGTATTTAATCGACATTTATTACTCTCGGGTTGAATAATTTTAAACAAATATTTTACACGCAACAGGAAGTAAGGATACCTATCAAATTTTTTATTTATCAAGTAGCAGTATAGTATAATTATTTGTATGAATGATTGATTTAGTCATTATTGTAAGTCTACCAAAACTAGTCGGATACAATGATCGAGTATTTGGGTCTCGTTATTTATTCGGGCCTGGGGACTGAATACTAGTGATTGAATATCGGATTACACTATACAGGGGGGACAGTGACAAGGAGTACGTCTTTTAGATCTTACGTGTCTGAGACGAATGTGTGTGTTTTTTTAATATAAAAACGATAGATCATTGTATTCAAAAATTATTTAAAAATTTAAAATTTAAACCGACATTAATATTATCGAATAAAAAAAAAGATGTAATAAAACACAATATGATCAAAGTAGTCATCGTATGTTATAATTTCGAGTCATCTCATCCTAGATAATAAAGACCGCCAACGTGGACAATAAGTCTCTGAGTTAATTGTTTTCTGAATAAAAAACCTAAAAAAATAATAATAATAATAAATTGGTTCAATTACATAATGTAACAATAATTTATAGTGAATAGATGGGTTTTTCAAGTTTTTTTTTTTTAATTTAATATGATAGTATATGTTAATTAAATTAAAGCTATGAAAACCAAAATATAAAATGAATTAATATGTAAATTATTATAAAGTACAGTTTGTATAGTTTAAATTCATATAATCTCTGATCAAATTCGATAAAACATTAAGTGCGGATCTACCCCTTAAATTAATGTGATCATAATATGAAATGTATTAGCTTACAATTCATCACACTTCAACAGTATTTCGTTTTGATATAGGTCACGTTACACTATCATTTATTTATCGATTTTCATATTTTGTTTTATTATCACTTTTCATGTAATATAACTTTCGTTTAATGTAATTGTAGAAGGTTAATATTTGTATAATATTTACAACAAAAATCACAATAATTGTAATTTTTATTGTCCTATAGCCAATTGATTATAGCAGTACAATAATATAAAGTTTATTTGGGAAACAATGTTTCTATACATTTCATCAAGAAAAAACTCATGATTATAGGATAGTTCACATATGTTATGTCATCACAAGTCTTTCAAACCTCTCTAAATTGATCAATATTAAGAATTTTTTAATCTCTAATATGTAAGAAGAATCATAAAAAAAATGATATATATCAATTATAATTAATATGACTTTCATTTTTCTTTCATTTGTTAGCAGAATATAATAATTATTTAAACTATTGTGTTGTATACGTTGGCGAAAAAAATATCCTACAATAAATTACACCTGAGCTATCATATTTTTATACTAGAAACTATGATAAAAAAATAAAAAAAAAAAAAAAATACACTTACATTATAATATAGATATATGCCATATGATAAGATTAGTTGAAAATTTGAAAATGTATTTTCCTACAATACTTTTAATTAAAAATAAAGTTTGAGGGAGTAAAAAAGTTATGACTGAAAAAAAATGATGGTGAAAAATGATTGATGGCTGAATCGGAAGTTTTATTGGGCCATCAATCACTTTATTCCATCAAATATAATTGAATCTACTAATATAAATTTATTATTAATTTTTTTAAATTAATTAAAATATTGCAAGTAAAATAGCTTAATAATTTTAGTATCAGTTCAATATTTAAGAGGAAAAAAAACTAGAGTGCTTTATGTATTACATAATTAAATTTAAACGTATATTTTAATTATTTTGTACCATTAAGTGATGAATGATTATGATTAAAATAGATATTTACTGTCCATAATTATATGAGAAAAAATCTATAGGATTTGTATCACTTTTAATAAATATATATTTATATATACCTATGTATTAAATTCAAATGTATTGACATGTAAATAAGTAAATAATTTATTAGTGTCATTATTTAAAGGTACAAAGTTTAAGTTTAAGCTTTTATAATTATTCATTTCTTGATTATTAATACAGCTAGTTCATTTAAATTATAATTATCATCATTATTAAAATCATCTTAAATAAAATGTATGAAATATTTCTGTATGGACGTAATACAAAGTATGTATATTCATACAATAATATTTAATTTTTAATGGTAGTTTATTTATCAGAATTATAAAAAAAAAAAATTACAATAATCACATTAAATATAGCCATATAGATAATAATACAATTAACTATTTCATAAATATTTATAATTTTAATAGCAATAAATATTTTACAATGGACAAATATATTTAAAAAAATGTAAATTGACAAAGTGGAGACTACTGTTCTCCAAAAACATAAAGATTCGTTTCACACAAGTCACTTAACGTGTCATAACAAAATATGGTACAATTTTTACTAGTGATCGACCATTAAAATAAACATTTTGCTATTCAGAATATTACAAAATTATATGAAAGCATTGAAATTATTGTAACCTTATGAATAGTATCATAATTATTTATTTCAATAACACACAAAGTAGCTGATGCGGAGTGAGCTTAAGACTGAAAGGTGAGTATAAATTATTCTGAGATGTCATTCAAATTAAGTATTGTATATCAAGTTTTTCAATTGGAAATATTTGAATTTTAAATATTCAACTAAGTACGGATTAGCTAGCTTAATTTCAGTCATTTAGTCATATACTCTGCTCAACCTATAAGTCATAAAAATAAATAATACACAGCCTAATGTTTATATACAATTCTTAAAAAAAAAGAAAATCATATTGGATTTTATTTAATCACACAATATGAAATTTTCAGAAAATCTAAAATTATTGACAAAAATATAATCAGAAATATTGGAAAATGTACACAACAAATAGAACAATTCAAATTTAAAATAATTAAGTAGTATAAATGTTTTTCTTAAATTGAGAAAGTAAAAAACAAAATTCAAAAAGTATTAAAAGTATTTAAATATCAAATAGGGTAACACAAAAAAAAGTTATAAGCTAATTTTAAATGATAAAAACTCAACAAGTTTTTAATAAAATTAATTTTAATTAAATTGTTCCTAAATTTAATAATTAATAAAGATATAATGAAGTTAAAACTCACATGGCACAGCATTGTTGTGCAAGTTCTTGTGTCAATCAAGTTATGTTTTAAAATTAAAACTTAATACATTTTGGTCAATTTATATTTACAAATTTAGATTTATCGTATGGTTTTACTATATTGCACATATCCTATAGAGACCGAGACCTTACTTAACACTCGGTGGGACAAACTTAATCAAACATTTAACTATGAATCACTTATTTTACAATAATACCCTTTTGAAATGCAGTTCGCACAAAACCCTGAAACTTTATCAACTTTATACCATGTTTTAAGGTCTCGTGTATACTTGTTTAACTACAAGACGTATGGTTGATACCTAATTTATAATAGTCGCATTTTATTAACAAACAAAAATATCAATAATTATGTTCCGTCATTAGATGGCGTAGAAAGTTCACGATCAGTTACTCCAATTCTCGACAGTTCTTTCAACATAGGAAGGGGTCTCTTAGGCCATGTCTTCTTAGCCTTCAAATCGTGTGCTTCTTTTTGTATTTTTTCTAATTCTCTAATCATTGGATAAATTCTTTGTTCTATCCATTCAGATACCGTGTATTTATCAAATATTCCAATCAGTGACTCCTGCAACGGTCTAATTAATGATAAAAGGGATCTATGGATGTGAGAATGGTCAGTCATTAACTCGTCCACACGGATTGGTGCTGAAAAGTCATGTTCTACATTGTAACTAGTCATCCAACCACGATTTTTCTTAGTCACCAAAATAAATTCATCGTAATCTATTTCAATAGTGTGCAATCTATACAGTAACCTGGAAATGTAATATAAATTATAGAGTAAATTATGTATAGTATATATAAGAGAATTATTTTAAAAAAAATCGAATAATTAACGCTAATTACCTGAAAAATTGATTTCCAGGAAAAGTGCACCTTGAAAACTGTTCCCAGAGATAAGGATCAGTATTCAAATTCAGAAAATCTCCATCATATTCATTGGTATGGCTAAAAATACCACAATTGAGTCCTTCATTCAAATTTGCTTGCAGAGATTGATTCATGTAGCCATTAGTGGTGGCCAAAAGATTCACGACCATTGACGGTATAGATGACGGTAGGACCTCACATAAAACGGAAAAGTGATCATACCTGTTGCATTGAAGTAATAGATTACAAAAGGTCGGTAGATATAGCAAATGTAAGTTATTAGACAAAAAATATGTATATGATCTAAAAATGAAATAATATTGTATAAGTCAATATGTGCAATAATACCTCTGCCATCCAGTAATGGCAATTCCTTTAAATCCTCCTGTAAACCGACTGTTTTCGTTCGACATCAATTGCAACCAATTTAAATTGTTTTCCAAATGTCTTTTAACGTTTGGAATGTATAATGTCTCTCCAAATGCACCTTTAAAGGCACTAGCTGTCCACGCGTGAGGAAAAACAATTTGATATTTTTCCCAAACGATTTGCATAACAAATCTGTACACGTCTTCGGCGTATACCCAGACCTGGGGATGTACATATATAAAACAACAACTTTAAACAATCCGATTAAAAATTAATACTATAATTACCATTGGTTCAACTAATTTTCCAATGTCGTATAGCTGCATTGTGGCCACGGACAAATGTCGTAGCATATCGTCCCAAATAATAGGAGTTGTGACCGGGGACTTCATGCGTACATACGTGGCCACCTGTTTCACGTGCGATAAGAACAAGTCTTCTCTGGCTTTAGCTCTACACCTGAAACATTCTCCCATTTGGAACACCTCGTCGCAACCAATGTGTAAATATTTCACGTTTCCGTGAATTTCCAGGATCTGAAAATACGAAATGTTTAGTTTTACTAACAATTATGTATAAATACACACACGCAGTAGTAATTTTACGGGCATTTACTTGATCGATCATTTGTTCGATGAAATTCAAAGAAGCGTTGTTAGACGGACAAAGCGCTTGTGGAGATTCTTGGACTTCTCTCAAATGAGCGAAATCTGGTAGTTTTAATGCAAATTCCACATGACCGAAAGTTTGTATCAACGGGATTACTTCCAAATTGTTTTCCGAAGCCATTTTTAAAATCTCTTTGATATCTGCTTTGGAGTATGCGTTTCCTGCAGCCATTGGGGACAAATTTCCACTCCAAGGAAACATATCTTCCCATTCAAGCAAAAGACCAGTCCCTCCAAATTTCTTAATTAACGGAAAGAGTTTTTGAAGATAAAGCAACTTGGGTGGTGCTCCTTTGAAATCGATGTGCACTAATCGATGAGGAGGCACGTATGGCAGTGGTTCTTGAAGTTCGGTATTGAGTTGAGTCCGTCGACTCTTACGGGCCGGCTGCTGTCTTTCAATGAAATTAATATCTTCGTCTTTTTTTATATTTTTAACTTGTGCAGGGATTGGCACAGATTGTTGCTGTTTGCTCAAAGCTTGTTCATTGGTTTCAAACTCAGACATTATTAAGGTAGTTCGAATACTTTGGATACCTATATCGTTTGTCGTGTTGTATTGTACACAAATTACTAGGAGAAGTATGCTCAGTAACAGACCAACTAATACTGATCTTCGTCGTCGAAATGAATTAGTGAACCAACCCGCGTATGAAGTTATGGTAGTCTTCCATAAAGTTCTGAAACAAATATCAAACAATTAAACATTAAAAAAAAAAATACAACGTTCATATATTTAAATTCAACGCGGATATGTATTTCGTTAGTATACGTTTTAGCCCTACGTTGATTTAAACATCAAATACACGGACGTCAATCCATAAATTAGTGCGAATAAGATTAGATTAGATAGAATAGATATTAATAACAAATATATAATAACAATATGTTAATTGTACATTTTGCTAGTTAACCTGAATGGAACACAAGATTTATGTCATAACTGACGCTCGGATTTCAATGTAAAATCCACATTTGTCCTTAGAATAAAATTCGTTTTACGTAATATCTTCGAGATATTTCAACGGTGAAACTCTAATTTCACATTTTTCTGTACTTGTCGTTGCTTTATTTTTTTTATTTTAGTATTTTTCGGTCATTTTGTTTTTTTTTTTTTTTATGTATATTTGTACATTAGCTTAATAATTTAAATTTAATTAATTTAGAACAGAGGTGATTCCGTTTGACGCTAAACATTATTACGTATCGATATAAACGATAAGATTATGATAAATACGTCTGATCGGTGTGCCGATGTACCGGTGTGGGGAGTTACCCGGTCGACCGCGACACGCACGTACCGTCCGACTGGGTGATTTTGTTACGTTTATATTAATTATTCTATTTTAAAAAAAAATGTAATAAATATTTGGATATTAACTGCTGAGTTTATCTAAAAATACATCAAGTTAAACAATTCAAATACAAGTTTTTTTTTTCTACTGTAATTAATGTTGAGTACTTTTTTAAAAATGATAAATTAGATACATAAAAAAAACAATTAATAATAAAATTAATCTATAAGATTATTTTTAAGGAAATTATTAACTATTTTCTAGAGAAATTTTCAATAGTTTATAGAGCTATACCCGGATCCCTGCCATAACCAAATGAAATATACCTAATATAGATTTACATTTTTTTTTTGTCAGAAAATAGTATCCGAATGGTATACAAATAAATTATGTAATATAATAAAGAACAGTTTTAGAAAGAACAATTTAGTTTTAAGTTTTAATTAAAACACGATCTTTTGAAAAATTTACATTTCGATAAAATGTATTATAATGTATGAGTACATCACAGTTACCATTTATTTGTTAAATTGGTTGAATTATTTCCATCGTACTGAGTACGGTGCAAATAACAAATATTGCCTACGTAATAGAACATTTTTAATTACTACAGCAATGAAGGACGCGGAGAAAACAAATCGTTCTAAAAACGTCCTTATTATTGTTAGCTATTGTTAGTGCACACGAAGTTGAAAAAAATCAATTAAACCTATCGCATGTTAATGCACGAAATTGTAATATAATTATATTAAATAATAATATATATTATAATACAATATTATAATTATAAATTATAAAATATAATTATATAAATTATACACAACGTGATTGAACTTTACTACAAAAACTAATAATACAGGCAAGTAGAACTAATCTATAAAGGCCCACGATTATCGAATTCTATTGGCAATCTTGAATTCGTGTTTGGCCGTCACACTCGAGCTGGCTGTTATTCTACATGGTTAGTTGTGACTCGCTGAGTGCCGTTACGTGCATGATTAATACCGTTTTCCGTATTGCATAGTTAAGGAGGCTTGATGTACTATAACCACGAAACGTATTGGAGTTACATTTCTATTATTTCAATCATCAATAAGGAAATACTGGTGTTAATATCCTTTAGCAGGTTCTTCGGCACCGCGACGCCTGCACTGGCACAAGTTACTTCGTACACTGTGTACCTGATGATACAGGCGCAGACAACTGGCATAATATAATCCACATCAGGATATCAGATACAACGTTTTAAAATCGTCGGACGCATTTATTACTTTTGCACATTAATAAAACAAAATGAAGCGTACGAAAATAATTACGAGCGGTCATTTATAACTTCCGACCAAGAGAAAAACCACCAGGTGGTCTTTATATGACCGCGCGTGTGTGTGAGTTTGTATATATGCATAAACAGAAATAATAATGATTACAAAACGGTGAATAAACGTCAAGTTGTGATTTCATTAACGCGAACAAATAGGGTAGGGATTTATTGATAATTGCATTGTTGTGTGTTTAATTGACCGCGTAGTTTATAGCAATGAGCGATACATTTAAACGGAACACAATAAAATACGATTTTCCGATAAAACGATTCGCCACCGGGCGTGGGCGTGGATTCCTTATAAATTCAATAATGGAAGAAAAAAAAATGTGTATGACTTTGTCAAACCGATAGGAAATACAAACGCAACGGCCTTTAACCTACATTTTTACATATTCTCGGACGAGTTGCTCACGTGCACACACGAACCGGATATCATACTGGACACGGTCGGCGTGTGTCGGTTGACATAAATCTGTGACACTTCTGTTCGATTTTAACACGCTCCGAAAATTACCGTTCGATAAGTGGCCACTACCACGATGTTCTGTACGCAGAGCACTCGTATTACGGTTCTGCGACGGCCACCGGAGTGGTCAGTTTGGGAGAATATAGGTCATTTCAAGTGCATTAGACCGTGCTAACGGGAGTCACCGTATATTTACGATTAGGCAAACGTCAAAACCAAATGTCGATACGTATGTGCGAATACAATTGAATGTGTTTATTATTATGCTATTACGCTGAACCAACAAAAAACGACAATACAACAAAACTAATTGTAATATTTTACCGTAGCCGTTGAAATCCAAAAGGAATCGAAATACCGACCGGTATCGGAGTTGGGCCATCACATTTGTATTGTTTAACTTCACTCAGGGCACACGCGTTTTAGCCGTTTTCGACGGGCGCCCATCTATGTACTACGTTTACCGGGCGTTTACACCGTTTTAACCTATCTAATTCGACGAATCCAATGATAGGTTTTTTTCCCACTATTACGGTAGACATTGAAATAAACGAAGTAAACGATAAACGTTGGCTGATAATGATGAAATAATGGGCTATTGTATTGTGTAAAACGCAGGCACAAATCTCAGGGGCGTAATAAAGGTCAATATAGGGGGGGGAAGTAATTTTGCGCCTTTATGCATATTGATAAATAATTATGTAAGTAAAAGAGAAAAAGATTTTCATCGTTTCGCTCGGACAATTATTTCTTCAACTTCACATTTTTTTTTAAGTTTCAAAGTTTATTGATGTAGGCTTGATGGTTACAATTATGTATTTTTTATTTACAATTCAATTACATTAAGTTCCACCATACAATGTTGCAATAAAATTAATGTTAATATGATCTAGATGAATGTAATATAGTTTAGGTAACTACATCCATAATAATAATTAAAATTTTTGTATCTGTTTATATGCAAATATATGTAAATTAATATATTATTAATTATTACTTGTATAGTACCTATATATACCTAATATTATGTATTACTTTAGAAGAAACTATTGTGGTTACGTGTAATTATTGTAATATAGTTATAATTACATCACTGATAAATCCCAAATAATACATCAAAACTTCTAAATTTTTATATTTTTATAATATAATACCGGTATGACTAAAAATGGAATATTATTTCCACAACTCTTTTCCTTATCAAGTTTAATAACTATAACCGATTTAATAAAACCATATTTTTTCAATTATTGAAGATCTATTATTATTCTCCCATATATATATTTACATACCTATGAATAAAATTTGTATAATTAACTGTTTACATATTATGATATATTACATAAATGTTATATTAAATAAAATACTCTGCTGTATAATATAATGTATAATAGTACATTGCTATATAATTATTATAAGTTATAGTTCTGGGGTTTCCAATATATTTACATGGTATCTTTCAAGTCTGGGTAGAGAGAATATAATGATGTTTCTATTATTTTGTAATAAATACTTTTGTAAAAATATTGTTTCGTATACATTTTCTCTACAAATTTAAAGTCCCCTCAAAACTTCCACCCTGGGTAAATGTCCCTTTTGCCCCCCTCTTAAAGTGTCCCTGACAAATCTACTGGAATTCACGAGTAAGCTACTAACTACTTGATGATAACGGCGGAGGAATATTTTCGGTCAAAAGATTATACCATGTGCATACAATACTAACGCGTACTGATATCAGTAAATATAATAAACAAAATTGTTGAAAAACATCACGTTCCAATGAAAAAAATATACAATTATAAAATCTTTTGAATTATTAAAATGATTTTTTTTTTAACAACAATAGGAATTATAATATTAATAATGAGGTACCTCGCTCAAGTTTAAATGAGAACTCATAGTATAATATCTCTACGTTCTAGCAACTAAAACCGTTTCTACACAGGACGAGTCCTGGTATAATTTGATAATATAGCCATCATCCGATACAGCGGATCGATCAATAATAAAAATAATACATTTCAAACCAAAACAATACGAAACGATACCAAACGAAAACATACGCTTTATAACAGGATAATACTTTTCAAAACACAATAACATCGTGACTCAAGTATTAAGGCGTTATATCGTTAACTAGTATAAAGCTCAGGTATTAATTTTATTTATCAATAATAATATTATCCTGAAAACTCGATCTTCTAAATTTGAATCCTTATGCGTTATTTACAATTTATGCATGGTTGGATTAGCTAGACATAATCGAGCGAATAAGATATTTTTTTTGCACATTAATCTCCTAGATGACTTTGCTAAACGTCGAACACTATTGTTGATAGTATTTGTCGTACAAGTCATGGTTACTATCGATAAAAAGAGATTGTCAAATTTTGATCCAAAGTAATTTTCATCGCTAGGATATTTGTATTGTACATATCATGATGAGTCACATAAATATACAAACATTATACGGTACGTGTACCCTATATAATATTCTTCCAAGCTAAACTTCAATATTCAAGTCTTATTCAAAAGAGTATAAGTGTTGTCGTTTGATCAAAATTACTTTTCGATTAAAAATAATTCTGAAAGTTA